TGGATCTGGCTGACGGTAGCTACTGTGTGCAGAACAACCACAATCGATATGGATCTGTGGATATGTTCCCGATATCACGACGGTGGACAGGCACTCAGGATCGCTCCACAAAAGTAGACTCTCTGTTGTGTCCAAGGACACGCCGTTTCTGTGCTGCTCGGTTTAGTGAACATTTTATTATTATTATTATTATTTAGTGTTCTGTCTGACGACAGGTCCATATGAACAGGATCCTTCCATCCTTTTCTCGGACTGGGACCTGTTCATATACGTTCTTGGCAGATGATCCAGAAGTGGTTTGCCATTGCCTTCTTCTGTGTGTGAATGGAGTAATTGTTGGGATGCCACGGAGAAACCGGAGGAAAACTCCGTGTTGCCTAGACCACGGCCTTGCCCAACACAAGTTATAAATTCGGGCACCGCCGGGAATCGAACCCGAGACCCCAGGATTACAAGGCCAGCGTTCTAACCGCTAGACCACCGTGGCGGTTTAGTGAACATATCAAACTAAAACATATTTCTTTTCAAATGTAAGAAGTTATTTGATGGTCAGTTATTGTAAGATGAATAACAGTGTGATCATCTTGGTATCAACATTTACCATCGTAACTACGCCTGTCGTAGGAAAGCAGACATGAAGAAATGTGTTTCTAAACGTTAAAGTGCATAACCTGTCACTGAGTCAACATAATGACGTAGCAATGTAACATTGGTCACGATTCCTACCGGGATATGAAAAGTAATTATGTTCGTCTTTTGTGGAGTACAAGTTTAGAAATAACCGACAGAGATGCTCCTCGTCTTAAGGGAAGAACATAGGTCGATACGTCTTTATTGGAGCATTCCTTATTGGTCTATCAATTTGACTTACGTATATGTGTACTTGGCTACATGTTTCGATGCCATACGCATTGTTCTCATGCCTGAACCATCCTGTAATAGGTTGCGTAGTTGTTTAAATAGTGTCCCTATCAGTACACGACTCATATACGTTTAATATATCGTAAATCTATAGGTACACGACTTATATACGTTTAATATATATCGTAAATCTATACGCTATATGTAACATATAAAATTCATACAGGGATAGCATTAGAACTACGAAAGCAATACTAAATGTTCAAGGCCTGTGGATGTTGCGTATTGAATTGAAACGTGCAACCAAAGACACATATTCTTATGCTGAATAAGTAAGCTGTGCAGATGGAAATAAACGTATTGTTGTTTATAATTTGTGTTTTGCACCAGATATCCTTGTGATCAAATCAGTGGTACTGAGATGGGCGGGGAATGTAGCGCATATGACAGAAATGAGAAATGCGTGTACTTTATAGTCTGAAAATCTGAAGGGAATAGAGCAGGACACTTGACAAGTTTAGTGTAAGATTGGTGGATAATGTTAAACTAGATCCTAAAGAAATAGGATGTGACAGTATAGGATTAATGGCGAGCACTTTAAACACGAAAAGAAAAATCCGGGTTTTATAAAAGCGGATAATTGCTTGACTACCTGACCGCATTTAGCTCTTCAAGTTGGACTGTGCTGTGTGGAGTTTGTTAGACGAAGAGAAGATTACTTGTATAAATTTAACCTGAGAGATTTATATCAAAGTATCTCACTTTCATTACAAACAAGATATTTTACGCTCGCTAGACAGAGTGTGTTCCTCCATGTGTGGTTACATATCATCCTTTTATGATGAGAGTGAGTAACTTTTAGCAGATAGTGTCAGCAAACAGTGACTGCAATAATTACTGTCGAGACAGTTGACTGCTAGATGCGTCAAGAGGCCACCGTAACATTACACAGCTCAAACACTTGTTGCGGCTAGACCAACCACGGCAGTTACCACACATGAACTCCGGTGCTTAAATACTTCAATCCTCAACATTTTGTTTTACTTTTCATTAAAAATTATCGTTAATCTCCACCAATAACAAGGCTTGCCCCTGTCCATTAATACATACGTTCGACCAGTCGGTTTGTGTAGTAAGACATTTTATCTCCAATGTGGGCCCATTCACACAAGGTGCTAACGGCAATTATTTCTTCCAGGTTAATTTATAGGTCATCGCTACATGATTAAAAACAATTAAGAAGGCAGCACAAAATACATCGACGGGCCCCATGTGGAACGCGGACCGCACCTTGTCAATTTATACTGTACAAGGTTAATCAAATATTAGAAAAAGCCACAGAGGTCCTCAGATATTGCTATGGGGATGAGAAAGAATTTATTCTGTGGAATCAGCTAAGTGAAAACAATACGAAAAATAATTATGTTAATATCGTGTTGCTGAACCAGACGAACAAGTAAGTTTCCTTAAAAATTCTTGTCCATCTGCTTTCCAACTGGTATTTTAATATCTGTTTTTGTGTGCGCCTGCCACACCTATTATTTATCGAGTACCTCTCAATTTTCTCAGACAACACTGAGCACTAAATATTTATGTAATAAGGCAAAGAGTTTCACGAGCTACTTAAAGTGTTCCTATGAAGCGTTCACGTTAACAGTGTTAGTCTGGTTAACACGGTTAATATTGATCGCACACTGTGCGATGGTGATGCTGCTCCATGACAGTCACTTTCCAGTCAGAGCAGAGGTCTTCAGAAAGTAATTCTGGCTCTAAAGAAAATGAATCCCTGAATTATCTCAAGTCCCATTCAACGCAGACCATTACAATTACAGCATTAACCCTGGAGCCAAGTTTGAACAGTCGGTGACAAGGCTAGTGTTTAGTTAAAAGGAATTTGAGCTTTCATTTCCGGAAGTTATAACCTTAATTACCCTCCCGAGAACAGGGATTGTGGATTAACTGTATACTGCAGAATCCTACTAGCGAAGAAAATATGTAGGACGTACAATTTCTGTTAGGAAAGACGTTAAAGTCAAAGACATTTTATAAGATGGAAAATTTATATCTTAGATGGAAAATATTGTGTGAGCCGGTTTCCTTTTACTTTCTCTGAACGCACATTGAACCGTGCAACATAAGCGTATAAACTGATGTAAGTTCGACATTATTCTTATCCAAAGTTCAATTATGGAATGTGATTTTTGTTTTACAATATGAAAGTTTGATGATCAACGAAGTTATCTGTCTCATCTGTTTTTAGATTATGGTATATGTAACCACGGTTTACGGTACATAATTTTTATAAACTTACAAAAGTAATATGATAATTATTTTAATAAAAAACTGTTGAAAGGTTAAATTTCACAAATAAAAGAGACTTTTTGCAAGAAAAGTCTTTTGGCTATTGTACCACACTTTGACATGCAATCAAATACGAACCGTTGTCTTGTTTTAAATCCTTTAAGATCAGTTGGTATATGTTCATTAGCGAAATAATTCGTGTTTATTCTGAGAATTATATGAAACCTGTAAACAACTCCGTGAGTAGAATTTTTAATGTTATAGCAGGTGTAACATGTTTTTAACACTTTGTTTTAAAGGGTTAAGAGAGGAACATGTAAGATTTTCAGTGAAAACTAAGAAATAAATTAAAGTCGATTTCTGCAATTCCAAATTCTGCAGTATATCAGGGATTACTCTCCACCACCTGGAATTCTGCTTACAGCAGTTAGAGGTGTTCGAGAAGCATGCAGTAAGGGGTAAGGGGTAGTGATTCTCCCACTAATTATGTCATTATAAATTGCCACCCGTCCTGTCACTCAGTCACCCTGGTGACTGATCAAGAAAACACCCAAACCAAAAGTTGTGTGGAGATTGAATATATCAGCGTACAAGATGTTATCTGAAGCATATTTTAAAATTCTGAGACTCAAAACGAAAAGATCCAATTAAAAACTTGTGTGCCCAGATCCTGGGCCAATTATGTCACGAATTACACAATGAGGACTGATGTAATGTAACTTCAATTTCGTAACCCACAGAATAGCATTGGTTATTGACACTAAAAATCAAACTATAATTAAGTTTGGCTAATTAGAAGACTTCAGCAGTGCTAACAGTCTACAAGTATGTCTGTTAAATTTTTGTATTAATGAGACACATTCAACTGCGCCTGTTTATGTAGGCCTACGGTTGTCTCTTCCCGTACACTTCTTGCTCTGTTCAAGATTGAACATGTTTTATTTGCTGAAGGAAGAGAGAGCTTTTCATTTAAAAAGCGTAAGTGTTTCGGCCTGTGTTAGCTCCGAACGCACAGACGCGCAATCACCAGAAGCTGCTGTTTAACGCGTCACACGATCACTGTACAGCACCACGCCTGCGTTAAATAATGGAATGGATGTGTGACGTCACATTATTTAGTATTAAGAACCTCAATATAATAATAATAACATGGCGCTTTATTCTACTGTCTACTACGATTCATCTGGTAATAATAAATTGATTAATTAATATGAGAAGCAAGTAGTAGAAATGTCGGACTTTTTAAAGAAACTTAATTGTTCAGTTTTATTGATATTGCAATTTTTTTTATCGAGGCCCACTCAACTGTAGGACTTCTACCACTAAACTGTGTTTCTAAATTATTTGCTGCTGAATTAAAATGCAATGTTAGAGTGTTTCTCAGTATCATTGCTATTCAGATTCAACGACATGGTACAAATGTTTAATGTCGGCTTATGTCTAATCTATCGCTCCGATATTTTAGATTTGTTCTTTTCGCCAAGCTTGTTAAAATGCAGTCACACTAGCATTATAAAATATTCTCCGCATATAGTAATTTGTGCACATTTCATTATTATACTACGGTAATTTTTAATTTTCAAATAAGCATATATTAAAATAGTTTACTCGTTTTCAAAAATGACGCTGGGTGTATGTTGGCTCTTGGGTCTAACAGAAAGATTATTCTTAGCCCAAGGGAAGTAACACGTTGTCGCAACCTGATGTAGACACTGAAAGCTTACATTCAGAATGAGACATTCAAGGTAATTCGTGGCGAGAATCAACGCAGTCAGTCATAGCCGAAAGTCGCGTAGATTTAGTTTGATAAAGTATTAAGTTTTAAATATCGATATTACCTGGAGCTTCTGTTGTGGGACCAGACCTCCGAGCAACTTATGGTCTGATGGTACACTCCGCGTGGACCGTGAGCTGATTGGGGGTCGTAAATCTTCTTCGGTGTCGTCGTCGTAGCAACTAATGTCGGCTCCAGCAGCTCGACCTGAAGACCGATAACCCAGTGTTATCAAGGAGAAAAGAATTGCCTACTCTTTGGAGTACACTGAAATTTCGAAAATTTCCTTCGCGCCACATCACGGTCGGTGACGTCAGAATGTTTCTCATACAAACTGTGGACTTGTATACCATTGTTACTCGAAAGGAATAACAGATGTAACAATGGCAGCCTGTAATTATATTCATAATATAAACGTACAGTTTGCTGTACTTAAATTAGAATGAGATTTGTTTTTATAAGCTGTAACAATTTTAAGAAAACTCTGTTTTAAAATTCATTCTGCTTTTTATGGAAGTAATATACATATATACACTTATATCTTCCACCTAGTGAGTAGGCCTAGTCCTTTCGTACAATGAAAAGGGCTAATTCACATTCCTCAAAGCAACCATTGCGAACTCCATTCGGTCCTTCAGGGACTTTTATGAAGTCATGAGTGGACAAGACCGTCATTAATTTTCAGCTCTGATGAAATAATTGGCTTAGTATTGCTGGGAGAGGTCAGAACCCACTGGACGTTTCATTTAAATGGCATTAAATTCCAAGCCTCTTTCGCTTCTAATTCAATCGCAATGGAACGCATTTTAATGCATATCCAGAAATTCGTCCAATTCTTCAAATACACTAATTCTATACAAACAACAAGCTCTTTGAGGAGGAGCTAGTAGCGTCAGGCACCGAGTAAGTTAGCACAGCTGTAAAACTTCTGATTTCCATTTTGGAGACACAAAGTTCGAATCCGGTAGACAGTTCGGCATCTTGTTTACTTACAGCTCCATCACCATTACTATCAGTCACTGCCGCTTTATTTATTCATTGGGCAAATTGACGGCTGCAAAGAGCCCCCTGATTTTAGGGGCCCTCACTGTGAGTGTGTCGGCACCATATGATTCATGTATCTGGACAGTAGACTCTCAAATAATGTACAAAGTGTTTCTCATTTACCGTTTGTCATTGTATGAGTCCGATTTAGATGTAAATTGTATACCATAAGCAGTAAATTTAAACCAAGATAGGGGTCTGTAATCCTTTCCAATCTTGTTCGCTTCTGATAATAATACATTTTGTACTGGTTTCAAATTGTAATGTCGCGCCTTTAAAAAGGACGAATGAAGATAGATCGGGCCCCAAGATGATAACTTTGCCCAGTGCCCACATTTGTCTTCAACCTTACCTGCCCCCAATACTAATCTGCTATTACTATCAGGATAATCAAACATCATGTCTTGCAAGCATCTGGCAAGCTGAACCATAGACTGACGAACAAAATAACAGTTGAATGTGCAAACTTCGTGTTTATCCGTCTCTGAAAGATTTGAAAAAGCAAAAATAGAAGAGTTGGAACCTATAAATTCACACGTGCTACAGAGTGAACACGTGGTTGATTATTGACCTGTGGACGTTGTGGTCATTTTGCCAGCCAGTGATTATCATTGGAATGGAAGTGATTCTGTTAACTTTGTTGTGTTTATGGAATGATGACGGATCGATGAGGTAATTCTCCGGTCATAATACGCTACACTGGGATGTGGTGGCAGTACGGAAGGGGCACGAGAGGGGATGAGTGTCGATCACAATTTGCAGTAACTGATCCTGTGCTGTAGCAGACATGTATTCCAGTCAATGTGTTGTTTACAATAGCGTTACATTGATGCCATACTGTGCAATGTTCTGGGTCACTATTGCTGGTCTAGGTTTGTTCTGCGTTATCCTCTAGGCTAGAGACATGCGAGCTATAACCGTAAGTCAGACGTATGTGCTATATTTCAGCTACTGATTCTGAATTTGTTCACTATTTTAAAAATAGAACACACTTCTGGAAAAACATGGGTAACAAATAAATTTCTTTCTTAATCAACCCTCTTGTACACGCAGGTGTCAAGGTATTCATTCATTTAATCTATAGACATTTGGTAGGACTCCTTGGACGAGGGATCGGCCCGTCTCAAGGCCCCTACCCGTACACAGGTCAACACAACACAGAAAAACGCGGACAAACATCCATGGCTGGAGTGGGATTCGAACCCACGGTCCCAGTGACCAAGCGGCACAAGGCCCACGCCTCAGACCGCGCGGCCACTGCGGACCCCAATAAATAAACTTAACTTTATAAAATCCAAAATTGCACGGGCCATAATTTATAATTCCGTGTGAAATCACTAGCAGATGCATTACATTTAAATACTAATGAATAAAATTTCATCAATTACAATCACAACATTTAAAAATTACAACATGATTAAAAATTTCTTTGTGACAGAATGTTTCAATAATATTTGCTAATTCTATATGATTAAAAATTTCTTTGTGACAGAATATTTCAATAATATTTGCTAATTCCACGGAGGTAACGCTTCATTTACAGAAGTCTGAAATTGTATAGGCCACTGGAAACACTATAACAGGCTGTTGGACTACATAGATTGTTTATGCAGGTTTGTTTTAATAAAATCAGGCTTATTTGTAGATCCCCCTTAATAACGGCTGTCGTTTTAAATTGGCAAAACTTCACTTGAATGTCATGCAATTACAGAACTGCTAAATCAGAGTTTTCAATGAAAATGTAATACTCAAATTTTTCTTGAATTTAGGAAAGGAACAATCTACAGGCATAACCCTATCTATTCTGTGTTGGGACTTGCAGCACATATTTCGTAGACGCAAACAGGGTCCCTTCTTTCAACAGACAGACTTTATACAGTCTACTTCATTATGACAACACGAAGTCTAAAGTATTTACATCGTTTCCAGTGTTGAGTTTGCATTTTGTACGGAATTGCAGGTATACTGAGGCGCATGTTAATCAGAATCTGTGCGTAAAAGGTACTGAGTCTTTGTTTAGCTGCGTTTATCAAACAGTGGCGTCTATAATACTTAGCCTATTAACGATATGGATTGTAGGCAATGCAAGTAGTATATTGCCAAACGTACCTCTATTTTTGATTATCTGTAATAGGCTCCAAGTGTGTTGGCCAGTTGTTGGATCCGTGCGTTTTTGATGATGAACTTGTCACAAGATGACTGCATGTCCCGTACTTTAACGCAGTACGTGTTTGAAATGAGGCTAGACACCACGAAAGTTGCCTGTCACTTTTTTCTATCCACGCATATATTCTCGAATAAAATATTGTTATTCATTTAGTGAAATTTGCGTCATATGAATAATATCGTCTCTAGAATTTCACTAACTATATCATTGTCAGATAGGCGTTTTCCTATTTCAGCCACACGAACACTCTCCCGGTTCTCTGATGTCCAACTGTGGTGTCTTTTCTGCGAATGCAGCAACTGAGTGATTTGTATAAATAATGTGCTGCAGATAAAGTTTCGCCTTGGCAGTGAGAACGCAGCACTTATTGCAGAGCTGTTGGGAATTTACACACTGCGAGACCTCGTGAACGTTGGTCGTTGGAAGAATGAACGGACAGAGGGAAGAGAACTGGCCCGCGAAGTGCGAAATTCTTGAACCACTGGACCGTAAGAAGAGTCTGTTGCTTGAGACGAAGCAACGCCCCCTGACATGCGATGCAGCACCCACTGTCGGCATTTTCTTAGGTTTCCCGTGGGTTGGGGGCGGCTCCTGGCACACGCCTCTCGGAAGCCATGTGACCCGGGGTCGTTATCTGCCCCGGCACGCCAGCTCGGACGGGGCCCTTATCGCTCTTCCCCCCTACCCCACCACCACGCCCCCCCTACTCATAGGTTTTCTCAACCGCGTGTTCAACCTCCTTGAGGACAATATCATATTCGATTGTTCTAACGAGGTATATTTTGTTACCTACGTTTAGCGCTGAGAGTTCATTTTGAAGTCTACAACAAACTTGCACAAACAACAAAAGCTTTTGTAGAAGATTGCATATGTAAACTAGAAACCGACGCTGTTGGTTATGATAATACGGAAACACAGTGACGGTGAGTGTCCTTGTGCGGAGTAGTGTTCTAATCCCCTTGAAAAGACCGTCCCGACACAAGTGGACTAGGGTCCTGAGGTACATTCTCCTCCACTCAGGGCTTGCACCTTGTTCGCAGATTTGGAAACGCTTATACCCAACCTTGAATAAGGCGAATGCATCATGATGGTGTAAAGATTAGAAGATATTCTTAGCATCATTACTATAATAGTTAGCGACTAGTCAGCTTCAAGCTCCCGCAGTCTTATCCCAGGAGTGTAAAGCCGATATCTCATCTCCATAACTCTGCAGTTACATATTAGGCAATTATGTGGATGAAAAAGAGATGAATAAACTACGAAATTACTTAATGAGGAATGCACGTCTGTCTGTATTATTATAAAAGTAAGATCAAGTCGTCTACTTGGGATAAATATGTAAAGGATGTGATAAAACGTGGTGGGTAATTTATTTGAATGCGACTTAGTTAAAATCCGAAATGAAATTAAAGGATAAGATTCAAATGGAATTTTGAGAAGCTCTGAGCGTATGATCATAATTAAAATAGCTGATAGGAGGTTTGGTGTTAAAGAAATTATGATCTAAAGATCTTATTGCCTGGAATGAGATTCTTCATAATCCCACCTTTCCTTGAATTTTCAATTTGAAAACAGATTAATAAAATAACATTTAATTTCTTTCAAATTTGAAAACAGATTAATAAAATAACACATTTAATTTATTTCGATACGTGTGTGTGAAGTAGCTGTGTTATTTTAAATCTTCATATTTATTTTAGCGATTTGCTTATCACAGTTTCATTATTCTGCAGTGCACAATCATTAATACCATCATCATGGTGATATTTTCCAGTAGGGATAATGCTGTCAAAGATTTTATCTTTCATTGAGGTGGTTTATCATTGAATGGAATATTCCTTCATCTGTAACAAACAGTTTCATTGGGTGTTGTTTTCTCTCTTTTTCGGTTAGTAACTTTTTCTGATAGTTTCGTTCGTTTGTACTTTAATTCGAGTATTTGATTTTAACTTATAATTATTTATGATTCGGTCATACAGATGTTAACATTTCACGA